GGGGCTTCCCGGCGGCGGGGGTCCGGGGGTCAAACCCCTACCCCGGCTTTGCCTCCGGGGGCCCCCGCGTGACAACCCTGATGGTCACTGCTAGCCTCTGCAGTGGAAAATGTGACCTGTTGTCTTGCACTCATCCTGTGCACCGCCTTATTTCTGGCCCGATATGCCGTTGTGGCCTTCACATGCCATGCTTGAATAGCTGCGAATGTGAAGCCTGCTGTCCTGCAGGCATGTCAGCGGCATGCCATGTGTCGTCAATGATTCTGGGAAGCTGTCACAGAGAGTATGTGTCTCTACTCTGTGGACAATCCCTGCCACATCCTCTCGGTTCATGTCCCACGTGCAATGTTGGCCGTCCTCCGGCTGCGCTGGTAATCGGACCCCCTCCATCCCCACCAGTGTGCATTAACCACCCTACTTTGGATCAGGCGCCGTCGTCGCCTGCCCATAGAGAGGGAATATTGGCTCTGGAAACCCAAGAACCTGCTCAATGTCGGAGTGTAATGGCCCACATTAGATTCTGCTAGCATGTGATTGGCATGCTTTGTGTTGTGAGGATTATGAGGGTATAGCCCATGCAAGTTTTTGTTTTCATACGTATAGTGGCTGCAATGGGTACGCCTATACAATTGCGCCTGGCGTCCTCTGTGTTCCTAGCATATGGGAGCCACGTGGGCTGTGACATCGGTGTTATGTACCCGATTGAACTTCAATCCACAACGAATTCACACGTTGTTATACTCGCATGCAATTTCGCAGAGTAGACTCAAAGGAGGCAAATCTGCACAAAACCGGAGAGAAGATATGCACAGCGGAAACTCAAAATACACAGAATTGAAAAACGAATTTCAATTCCGCAATTCCCTGTCCGAGTCTACTCTGCAATTGCATGCGTGTATGGGAACGTGTGAATTCGTTGTATATTGAAGTTCGATCGGGTACATAACATCTGTCTAAGCCATGCCATTGGATGCAGCGGCTGCAACTGCGATAATTGGATGAAGTGCTTCCACAGTCCACACCTGAACCGGTCCTGTCCAGTCTGCAGGGGTGGCCACTTGCCACAGGCAACGCCTACTCAACTCCATTTTTTCTACAGCCCACACACTGACTGGCCTCTTGTGCCATTCTGTTGTAATCTTCTCTGGTGGTGAGTCTCAGTTTGCAACTTTGCATCAACATGAAGTAGCTCAGCATAGCATTACACCACGATGAGGGATCAGACGGAGGTATAAGACGAACGAAAAGACGGTTCCGTGAAGAACTGATTGAGAACATAAAATAATACTATCACTCCTTGTCATCAAACCCTCCTTCACTAGAGGGAGGCTTGGACGATACTGGAGGACTTAGCGTGTGTTTTGGGTCTGTTTTAGTGTACATGTGAGTGACAGCTTCAGTTGTATAGAAGAACTCTTCTTCGTCTGTTTTCTCTCAGTATAACCTTACAAAAATGAGAAACCAACACAAAAAACAGAAGTTTTGGTCAATCGGGCAAGTCGATAAAGCACACAATACTACAATAGGTTATTTTGCTATGCGATATTTTTTCTTGGCAAGAAATCTATTGAAATTTGATCCTTCTTCAGCTTTATGTTTGCTTGCACCTGGTCGTTAGACTCGGTATCTTTGTACAGAAAAAAAAAAAAAGTGAGAAGTTTCATGAATGCTCTCTTAGCTCATGGCTGTTCCCTTCGTGGCGATTCTTGTACTTTGTTTTCTTCCAAACGGAATCTTGTATCAATAATGCTGGAAATTGGGTCCATGGTCCCTATCGCTAAGAGTACTCAGTGCTACTTACTCTACACTTCTCCTTGTTGTGGTCAAGAGTGGCGATTATTTTGTTGAGAATATAAAGCTAGGTCTTCCACGTCGTCATCAAGCTCATCCTTACAGTGCATGTGCCCTTTTTTGTGTTGAAGGATGGACCGTCTCTTGAGCCCTCCACATGGACAAATGGATTCGTCTCTTATCCTTTCCTGTGGTTTCATCTCCATTGCACCCTCCTTATTTTCCCTTTTGTCGCCCTTCCATGTTCTGCCCATCTTTATCCTCTCTCCCTTTTTTCTGCCTCTTTTTCACAGTGTGCCAGTTGGCCCTTATGGCACACGGGGATGTGAGCGGCTCACAATCAACTACACCAATGTGGCGAGCCTTCTCTGTGAGAGTCACAGTAAAGGGGGCGCCAAAAGAAGAAATAAAAGAGAAACCGCGAAAGAAGCCCAAAGTAAGAAGAGAAAAGAAAGAACGGCAAATGAACATATCCAGTGCGGAAGGATGCGAGAGTGGGTCTATGTTGTATCATGTTATTTTGACTTGCCGATGGAATAGGAACCAGGCTGATGCTCCCCATAATGGACATGGAGCGAGGACCATAAGGTCCTGTTTTTTTTTTTTTTGGGGGGGGGGGGGGGGGGGGGGCGGGCAGGGGGAGGAGAGGAAGAGCAGTTCCAGTGTGCTTCATGTTGTCTGCTATTTTCTTCGTTTGTTTTGTAATGTGTGCTCTTTCGGTTGAATGATATGTGACAAGTCATATTGCTCAAACAACCCTTGAAATTATCATCTGATCTCAGCGGGTTTGAACTCCTCCCTTATCGCGTAGCATTTATAGGTGTGTGTACCATTAGGCTTGTAGCCAGGTACATCTGGTGAAAGCTTCATCTTGCCGTCTCCTTTTTTTTTTCCCCTTCTGGGTATCGTGCAGGTTTGCTGTTCTCCTCTGCGGAGCATCTCATATCCAAATGCATCTTTTCGTGGGTGATTTTGAGATGAAGCGGGGAGCCGACGAATTTCCAATGGCATTTCATTTGAATGCTTGTCTTTTTGGGTGGATTTTGTTATTGGGGCTTGCCCTTTGCTTGTGGGAAGGTGCCGACATTTCTAGACGTGGTGCAGCAGCTGCGGGCCAAGAATGCGAACACTTTTGCAATCCTGTATAGCAGCCTCCTTGCGAAGGTACGCATTGGTGCCTCTACTTTCCCACATTCTCTGGAGCGATGTCCTTCTCCCTGTCTCCAGTTGTTTGCAAACTCATACACCATGGCAGAAGGGCGTGAGAATTTGAGGCTGAGTATGTTCAAGCCGAAAACAGCTGGGTGCATTGTTGCTTTGCGAATGTGACTTCTCACAGCAAAAGGGTGTGAGAGCTTGAGGCCAGGGATACCTCTTAGTCTGGCTTTTGAAGCATCACACCGTCGCTCACTTTCTCTCTCTAGTAGTAGGGGGGTGGGGGGTG